TGTAAATGGTTCAAATATTATGCACACCTGCGACATACATGCATAGACACCAAAATCATTTTTCTAGTACAACCCCACTAGATGGAAAAAAAAATTAAGGGGGTGTTTTTTTTTTTTTTTTTGGCTTTTTGTTTCCCATAGGTCAGTAGTGCACTAAATAAGTTTTTGAAAAATATATCTACTTATTGCAACATTCCTCTGGAAACTACCCCTGCCCCTTATGAAAGTTGTCACAACTACTCTTTAGCGATTATTTCGTTACCTATGCATTGTATGGGAATTTATACGAAATTGAACACCACCTTCTCTACAAATAAGGTCTTGATACATTTTCTTATCCCTACCGTATCCCTACCACGAACCGCCCGCGCCCCAAAACCCCCCTGGCCTATAAACATGTTATCAACACAACAAATAGTATTTTATGAATAAGATACTCAGTCTATCTGTGGTTATAGGTCATTGATGTTATACAAGTGGGAGTAGTATGGCTTGTCTGGCAGCCTTTTCGACCTGTTTTGATCCTATTCGTGTGGAAGATCTTAGTATGTCGAGCATGAGGGCTTCAGATCGCCGATGTTCGTCCAGGGCCGTAGCCAGGGGGGGGCATTGGGGGGCAATGCCCTATCTTTCAAATCATGATGCCCTACCTTTGGAAATCAACATGCTTTAAGGTTTCTCTAAGAAATTTAAGATTAAATAATGCCCGAAGTAAATAGATCGGCCTGAAATAGAGTAAGTGCGAGGATGAATGTCTGACGTTTTCACAGAGGAAGTTTTTCGTTTCGAAAGAGTGCGAATGGCCCGAGACGGCACGAAAATCAGCGCCATTGTGTTTACTTGTCAGCATTGCTTGCCAGAGATGTTATTCATTGCAAGGTTGTTTGAGAGAGGTAGGTTGCCTGATAACTTTATGACGTCATCTGGGGTGCCTCAACATAATGCAAATCTCCATTAAGGTACGGTTTGTTAGGACAGAGCGCAACGCACAACTCACAACTTAAACATCGGCAGAATATGGTCCGCACGTCATTGACACACTGCTGATGCTGTACGTCACGCTCACCTGCGCAAAGCCAATAAACTGGTTCATACAATGACTTCATATAATTTGCACTCGGTTGATTTTAGTACACGTGCGCACTGCCCTAACAAACCGTACCTCAAGGTACCCCAGATCAGATACGTCATCAAGTTATCCATTACCAGACAACCTGAACCTTGATTTATTGGAAAATTTGCCTTCGGCATAGGTCAACAAAATGGGGCTGATTTTGTTGACCTATAAAAATTTTAAGGGGGGGGGGGGGGGGTGAGTAGTGTATGCCCTATGTCAAATTTGTCATGCCCTATCATAAATTTGACTCTAGCTACGGCCCTGTGTTCGTCGCTACTTCTGGTGTACAGGGTGATCTATTATAAATGTAACCCCCTGCTAACTTCTTCATTTGAAGTTTTTGACAGAAGTGTCAAATACAAAAGTATCAAGAAATTGTCAAAAGTTTTTAACTAAGTCAGTTTTAGGCATATAGGGTGCGTCAAAAAAGTGCAGCAGCGTGAAGTTATATTTTTTTAAATGGAACACCCTGTATATTATGCGCCTATTTGTTAGTCCCCTTTAACCTGTTTTCAACGATATAGGGTTTGATATGTCTATCTTCAACAGTTATAGGGAAAAACATGAAAACCCCTCTTAAGGTTTCATATTGAAAAAAGGAAAATTATACCATTTAAGCTTTATAGAATTTTTTTATTATCATTTTATTGTTCAAATTTTATTCAATAATATACAAGGTGAAATATAATAATAAATCCAGATGTCTAAGCTATGATTATTATTTAAAAAAAAAAATAACATGAGAGACCTAGGAAGGAATTTTCGCGTTTTTCCCTATAACTATTGGAGATAAACTGAGGGATAAACATATCAAACCATATATCGTTGAAATCAGGTTAAAGGGGACTAACAAATAGGCGCACAATATACAGGGTGTTCCATTTAAAAAAATATAACTTCACACTGCTGCACTTTTTTGACGCACCCTGTATGCCTAAAACTGACTTAGTTAAAAACTTTTGACAATTTCTTGAAACTTTTGTATTTGAAACTTCTGTCAAAAACGTCAAATGAAAAAGTTAGCAGGGGGTTACATTTATAATAGATCACCCTGTACCTCAAGGAACCAACCTGCTATTTAATAAACACCTTGAAGACCTTATTGGTGCAATTACATGTAACAAGCTGGCATATGCTGCTGATGATCTGAAGCTTTTTTTGCCTATAAACTCTGTTAAGGATTGTATACCATTGTAGGACAGTATAAATCTTTTTGGTTATTGATGTTGACACACACAACAGACAGATGATACCTTATCATTGCCAAATGGAATATTGTGAGCTTTCACAAACTGAGAACTCTGGTCATTTTTGATTATTCAATTGGCGATGCTTTCCTGGTAGGGCTCAGGCTCAGGACTCGTGATCTTGGTATAGTCTTTGATTATAAGTTTATGTTTACTCCACAGGTTAACCTATTTGTACTGCATCATTTCGGAAGCTGTGTTTTATTATTTGCAACAGTAAACATTTCACTCGGCAATCTACTTTAAAGTTTCTGAATTACAATTTTATTCACTTCAAGTTGGAATACGCTTCTTTAATCTGAAATTCTATATATTCTATTCTTATATTTTTAAAATATCTGTCAGACAGACTGGATGGTCGTATCCTCAAATTAACACATGAAATAGATAGGTTTATTATGATTAAAAGAAGCTCCAAACATTGACTCCCATTCTAAGATCACTTGCGGACACTTACTGCAGATGTGCCATATATATAAATTGTCCTAAGTTGCAGGGAAAATGAAATTGTAAATTGAAAAAAAATATATCGTAAATATAAAAACCTAGATAGATATATGTATATACAATTATAACATAAAATATCGCGGTGCTTTCCAAAATTGAATAGGAATAATTATTACATAAAATAATAATCTATTATCACAATAAAATTTGAATAAGAATTTGTACTAGCTGAAAATGGCAACACTGCCTAAAATCTCGGAACCTGGTTGTATTCGTCTAGAACTCCCACCTGAATCGTTTTATCTTTGTTAAGATAACCAGATAAAGAAGGATGCAAATATTGCCAGAGAGGTCTATGGCCAGAGCAAGCCCGACCTTAATCGCGAATGCGCCCTAGTATTCATAGTAAGAAATGTCTAACGGGTTTTGTTTGTAATTGGTCCGCAATCTCATCCCCACTCCATGTACTTAGTTTATTCATTAATCCACTATTGTCGTTTAGGAATTTAGGATTGTTGGCCGCAGAAACCAAGCGATTTTATGAATGACTTGCCCTCTCTATTTATGTAGTGTTACTCTGAGTGCGCATCACCTCGTATCCCTCCTATACAACCTTCTTTATAACAAGGTGGATTGTGTATTTCTTGACAACAAAATCGCTTTACATGTTCCCCGTGTCGAAGGAAGATACAGGCCCACCTCCCACACACAGACCGCTAAAACAAATATGTTGTATAGTAAGGAGTCCTATGCACTTGCACTTCATATGCAGTGTTTTCATTAGGGTCTCTCTCACCTCTCCGTGGATCATTTCTTTCTGATTACAAACACGAACTTAAGTTCTTGATTATAGATTCAGTTATTTGATATTGTATTCTTATAGGGTTGTTAAGTAGTATTATTGTGATTCTGCATCAGCTATTATTATCTTAAATAACCAAGCTTTCAACCTTTACTCACATACTCACACACTTCTTGTATACAGGGTGATAATTTGAAAAGTAGCAATCGTGGATATCTCTTAGATGAAAAATACTATCAGAAAGATCTCAAATACAAAATACGTATTGGGGGATTGGGAGTGAGTGGGAAACAGAATACGACAATTCTTGAGTCACCCCGCTTCACCAAGAAGGGGCTAGCTACCTCAACTTATTTTTTTTCAATACTAGTACTTTCCTAACCGTTCCCAAAAAAAATAGTGCATGTAATACGCCCGATGCTCTTTGTCGAAGTTCACTATTTTTACCTGCTTTAATTTCGCATTTTTTTAAAAAATTTAACGGAACGAATTATCTTTACCTTTGTACTTTGACAAGTTCAGAATATAGGATTCCTCTTCTCAGCAAAGTAGCTTTTTTCTAGGCACTCTTGTCTCACAGAACGGTTCTTATCTGTGATAATATTTGGAAAAACTCCATTCAAATGGTTCATCAAATTTAGTAGAGTTATAATAGTCTGTGATACTACTAAATTCTGGTAAATGATTGAATAGTGTCTAGAAGGGTTTTTTTTTGTAAATTTTTACATACTAAAGTCCGACAAATACCATTTTAAAGTCACGTGATACTGGTGGCAAAAAACGTATGTCCATTGATTATGTCGTTGATATCACCTACAAAATGCTACTGGTGATTAATTACTATTGAATTTTAGGATATGTTCCCACTAGCATTTTACAAACGCGTTTCTGAAGTAGTATTAACCAATCAGAGGGCAATTTTAATACTTGCAATTGTCGCGAGACTCACTTTTGTCGTATCTGCTGTCTGTTGTAATACATTTTGAACTTAAACTGGGTCCCCGTTTTCTATTTGCTTCTTTTCGAGTTGGAAAAAGGTTAATATAGTCAAAATTATTAGCTGTGTTTGTTCATTGTATTATTTTCGAAAATAACTTTGACAAACTAATTGATGACAGTGACGGATTCTATTTCAGGTAAGAATATTATGAACAATAATTAGACAGCAATTTTTTTGTCAATTTTACTATCACCGCTGTTTGAGATGTATTCAACAAGGATAGAGAAAAATCACGTGACTTTAAAATGGTATTTGTTGGACTATACAACCTAAAACGTGATTACATACAATCTAGTGGCGGCCTCCTTAAACATGCATTCCAAGTTAGTTATTTCTAAGACAAATATAACAAAAACTGTTTAAAAGTACATTAGCAAAAATTATTACCTTTTTCGACACTATCGTGGATCCAGTCCGGAGTGACGCACGAAATCCGCTGAGAACGACGTGCCGCTTTATATTTTTCACTGCAAGTGCTCGCTGTTCCATAACAAACCAAAACATCAGTTTTAGATATGACTAAAGTGCCTGTTAAATTTCCTCCATTATCCTTTATTATTTCCATTAGCTGTGCTCTTTCTTTGGAACTAGACAAGCCTGTAGCACATATTGTCAAATTATTGAAAGCTGGACATTTATATTTATCCAAAATTGTATCATCAATATCATGGCAACTGATGTTAGTGTTTTCAAACATGTAGTCAATCCAACTTGGTAGCATCAATAGAACCCCTTTTTCAGCTGCCAATGCGTATTTTTCCGAATTAGTACTGTCACATATTAAATGTGTCGTAGAATCTCTTAAATCTCCACAATAAAGTCCTCCCATGAGTTGCACTTTATTTTTTATGATTTCTTTACGACTTTTTAGCATTTGGGTGCAAGTAACTTCGCACTCGATCATAGAAACAGTTAAAATTGGCCACGGAAAGTTCGGAATCGATATGATTTGATCTAAGCAAACATTTAGGGCTAATGGGCCGATTATTGCGCATTGGCTTTCAGAGTAGATGCTGAAATCTTTGCCTTCCAATTCTTCAAATATCAAGTAGTCTTTTTTTGATAAGTCGCGATTGATCAAGTTGCTTTCTTTGTCCCAAATTGTGTCTGGGACTAATTCTTTACATGATTTGTAGGCTCGTTTCATAACATCGGAGGCTTCGGATTCATCTTGAATATCGTTTGGAAGTATAAAAGTTACTTTTATGTCAGTCATTTTTCGAGTGTTGACTTGTCAGTACCTGAAAATTAAATATGTTAGTAATATTGAACAATATGTATTGTAATAGAGATATTAGGGCATCTATACATTCCATAGGTACCAATGAAAAGCATAATACCATGTAATTTTTGTATCTAAAATGATCATGATCATTTTGTTCTCGATTTTGTTCGACAGTCAGTCAATAATGTGATAATTGTTACCTATCAAACTCCATACATATTAGACTTCTGGTGTATTTGCAACCATTTTTACCCATTGACTAACATGATGTTATTGATGAGCAAGAAATCGCGTAAGTGTGCCCTAATTTAACCGCCCCTGTATCTCTTATGGTTACCGAGATCTCCATACTAATTCGCGAATTTGTAACATCCTGTATAATCAATAATTAACAATATTGCGAATGATTAAAGATTTGTGTTTTGTTGAATTTTTAAAGATTTTCAGGGATTTTAAATATATCTTACAAGTTTTTCTGGACTTGTACACAGATTTTGACCAATCAACCTCTCCAAGGTTTAGTTAACTCTATATGAACACATATTTTAAGTCTTAATTGATTTTGTAGGATTTTGGGAATTTTTAAAATCTTTACACGATTTTACAGGAGTTCAGAAGATTTTAGATTTTTATTAAAATTTTAGATGATTCTGTAGCATTTTAAAGGTTTTTGAAAGTTTATAGAGATTCTAAATGCAAATGACAAATTTGAAAAGAAAAACGGAAATTCCTTATTATTTTACTATAGGATTCCATAATACTTTTCCGAATTTCATCTTATGATTCTATGGAATTCCACCATAAAATTCAATGGAATTCTTGCACAAAAATTCCTCGGAATCACACTACTTATGAGATTTCATAAAATTCTTTGGCATTCCACTAAAATTTCAAGTTATTCTATGGGAATTCTGCGAAGATTTTTGTTAATCCCATAGAAATTCCTTAGAATTTCACTAGAAGATTTTATGGAATTCCTCGAAATTTCATTTAAATGACAAATTTGAATCGAAAAACAGAAAGTCCTAAAAAATTTACCTAAGATTTTATATTACTTCTCCGAATTTCACCATAAGATTTCATGGAATTCCAGCACAAAATTCAATGGAATTCTTGTACAAAAACTCCTCGGAGTAAAAGATTTCATGAAATTTCTCGGAATTCCACTAAAATTTTATGTAATTCGACCAAAATTACTCAGAATTTCACTAAAATTTAATTCAATTCTTCCGAATTCCGTCGAAATTTCTTTTTTTCCACTGAAATTCCACGTTATTAGTCGAAATTTTTTCGAAATTCCAATGAAACTTCATTTTTTTTTTTTTAAATTTCATTTATTTTCATGAGAATTTTTCGGAATTTCACCGAAATCTTCTTCAATAGTCAGTAACTCGGTCATTTCTGGGAATATTAATGAAACTTCAAGTAATGTCTCGAAAATTCACCGAAATTTCTTCGAAATATATTGAAATTTTACCGAAATTTTAAGTTGTTAGCCGGAAATTCCTCGGAATTCCACTTGTGAAATTTCTCTATTTTTACTAAAATTCAGTACTTCGATGGGAATTCTTCGGAATTCCAATTTCACTAAAATGCCATGTTTTTAAGTGGGAATTCCTTAAAATAAAAATAAAACTTCATGTACCTAGTTACATTAGGATTTTTCGGAATTTCACTGGAATTCCTCATGAAACGATAAGATTTGTTCAAAATTTCACTTAAATTCCATGTAATTTCTTGGAATTCCATGCAATTGCATCGGAGCTCCATATAATTTGACGAAAATTCCTCGGAATTCATGTAATTTTTTGAAACTTTTTTAAAATTCTTTATGTAATTTAACAAGCACTGTAATTTCATGTTGATAATTTCGGTGTTATTCCATGTAATTGTTTAGAATTCTTCCATGCAACTCATTCAGGATTTCATGTAATTCAATCGAAATTCCACTGAAATTTCATGAAATTCGAGAGGAACTTAAATTTAATGTGAATTCTATGGAAACTCCACAAAAAAATTCACATGTCACATTTCACACCATAAAAGTCAATGGAATTCTTGGATTTTTTTTTTCTTCGGAATTACAATATAAGAATTTCATGACATTCTTTGGAATTTCACTAAAATTTCAAGTTATTCGTTATTCCATGGGAATTCCGCGAAAATTTTAGTTAATTCAATAGAAATTCCTTAGAATTTCACCAGAAGGTTTTATGGAATTCTTTGAAATTCCATTCAAGTGCTAAATTTGAATGGAAAAACGTAAATTCCTAGAAATTTTACTATAAGATTTCATAATACTCTTCCGAATTTCATCATAAGATTCTATGGAAATGCACCACAAAATTTAAAAAATTACTCGGAATTACACTATGAGATCTCTTAAATTCATAGAAATTACTTAGAATTTCACCAGAAGATTTTATGGAATTCCTCGAAATTCCATTTATATGGTAAATTTGAATGGAAAAACGAAATTCCCAAAAATTTTACCAGAAAATTTTATAATATTTTTCCAAATTTCACCATAAGATTTCCTGGAATTCTTAGACAAAATTTTGTCGGAATTGAAGTAAGTATAGGATTCCATGAAATTCCTCAGAATTTCACTAAATTTGTAATGAGAATATTTTTGAAACTCCATGTTCATAGCCGAACATTTCTCGAAAGTCCAATGAAACTTCAAGAAATTTTTCCAAATTTCATCTATTTTCATAAGAATTTTTCGGAATTTTATTGAAATTCTCTTTTAATAGCTAGGAATTTCTGGGAATATCAATGAAACTTCAAGTTATTTCTTGAAAATTCATCGAAATGTCATTACATGGAAATTCATGAAATACATATGACCAAAATTCCATGTTTTTAGCCTAAAATTCCTCGGCATTCCACTTGTGGAATTTTCTGGAATTTTACTAAAATTCAGTAAGAACTGAAATTTCATGTTGGGAATTTCGGGGGAATTGTTTAGAATTTCTCCATGCAATTCATTTAGGATTTCGTGTAATTCGATCGGAATTTCACTGAAATTTCAAGTAATAATGTAAACTAAAAATTATTGTGAATTCTATGGAAACTCCGCAAACATTTCACATGTAATTCCTTTTTCAGAATAAATAACATAATTCTACTGAAATTCCTTGAAATTTCAATAAATTATGGAATAATGAGAGACTTTTGTGGGATTTTGTTAAATTTGAGGTTAAATTTTTAAGGATTTCAAAGATTTTTAAGGATTTCAAAGATTTTTAGGGATTTTGAGTGGATCTTATGAGATTTTCTGGGATTTTGACCAACTGGTACATGGATTTTGACCAGTTAACCAACCCTCGTTAATTACCATACAAATTATGAACAGTATTCCTTCTACAACCATGCGGTAAAAAAATATTTTTCCTACGAGCTTGCGCAAAGAGTACTTTTCCGTACACATTTCCGTTCTCAAAGTTACACTTTTCCGCACTCAATGCGGAAAAGGCCTGTATCCGCACTAAGTGCCAAAAAGTAAAAATAATTGTCAATTGTGTTCTCCAAAATTTTTGTTATTACCTACCTGGATATGAAGTTCGTAGGAAAAATGTTGTTCTTAACACGTGCGCATAGTGTCTTTTCCGCACGCAAACACTTATCCAAACTCTGAAAGTAAGTACCACTTTGCGCACTTGTTAGGAAAATAACTATAAAGTTCAAAAAATTATAGACAAAAAAATTGCCAATGGACAAGTAGGATTTAGGTGATAGGTGATAGATAGATAGGATAGGTAATTGAAGAATAATTGGTTATATCATTTCATCTACGGCCTGCACAATAAGTAGGGATGTAAGCCAATTTTTCTGACAATGTCATGTCACAGTCAAAATGAAAATGACGGTCACGTCATTTATTTTTATGATACTCCTGTCATTTATTTTTTTATCGATTGAATTTTCTGACTGTCAAATTATTAACTGACCGTCATTAAAATATATGACCGTCATTAAGATATATGAACGTCATTGCCGTCATTGAAATATTATCTATACACAATCTGTAGTCCAAAGGTACAGGTAAAATTTATCACCTTTCAATGCTATTTGCTAGGGAAAGGTAATTAATTTACCTGTATCTCTGGACTACAGATTGTGAATAGAATATATTGATTTGAGTTATGTTATGTTCTACATTGAAGATAAATGACCATAAATGACAATAAATGACAAAAATGACAAAAAATTACTGTCACCTATCACAAAAAATAAATGACCGTTATTTTACATCCCTAACAATAAGTGACTAATATGTCACTAATTTTCACTCATTTGCGTTATGTAATGAGCCCTATTACCGCACTAGTGCGTTAATGAATCATAATGCGTTCATTATGGCAATAGTGTGGTAAGAGGTCATTATTTTTAAAATAAACTACGCCTCAATCGAACTCACTTTTTGAAAGGCTATAACTCAAAATCTACCTGGCCGATTTTGGGCAAATTTTCAGGAGTGAAATAATGCTCTAATTGCTATTAAATTTCCAGTTCTTAACAGATTTTCGGCAACCTGCTAAAAGATACAGGGTGAAGCATAAGTTGGCGATTTTTGTGCGAAAGTCTGGGTTCACCCCATTTTGCTGGAGGGAGAGTTGAGTCGATTTTTGGTATGCAGTTTAGAAGAGTACCTTAGTACCTCGGGACGTTTTTGAGATTTTTTGAATATCGCAGCCCACTACGATTTTATCTTGAGTTATGCGATTTTATGTAAAATATAGCTATTGACGTCATTATTTCTTTCAAAACAAACACTACAATTATGGCGCATGTGGAAGCACACTTTAAAACATTTATTTATTTATTCATTTATTGGTAGTAGCAAAGATATAAATTACCAAAGTAATAATTTAAAACTAATAAACTCTGTTGTAAATTAAATCATAATATTGTTTTCCCCGAGTTTTCCCTTATCCATAATTTAGACCTACTTAAGCTACTTAGTGCACGATAGTACTTATAGTACCGTGTGTGCACCCTTATACTTTAATGAGTATCACCTGAGGTTATACCGGGTGCCCACGAGATTTCTTTCCGGCCGCCATTTTTTTATTTGTTTATCGATATCGACGAAACTTGGTAGGCTTGATATTTTAACGAAACGCCTTTTTTATGCATTTAGGACAATTTTTCCTGACTTCCGGTTTCACCGGAAATGACCGAAACTTTTGATTTTCAAATGGCACACCCTGTATATTTTTTGTTTTTTAGATTATACAGATCGTTTTACGTCCTAATGTACCACTTTTAAATTGAGTTTTGTCCAAATTTCGTTTTCAAAATTAAATTTTAAGTAGAAAAAAGAAATTACCTACTAAAAGGGCCTCCCAAAAGCTGGGGGTGCTATTTCGTACAAGACATCTGTACACACCAAGCCAATTGCTGACACTCTACAAAGCCCAGATTCGACCAACTATGGAGTACTGCTCACATATATGGAGTGCAGCACCCAAACATACCTTAATGCTTTTGAATACCGTGCAAAAACGAGCTATCAAGCTGATCAATGACCCCGCACTTACTCGTAACTTGGATGGTCTCGAACATCGCAGATCTGTGGGCGATTTATCTCTCTTCTACAGGTACTATCACGGAAAATGCTCTGAAGAGTTGGCACGTATGATTCCACCGAGAGTAGCACCTACCAGGCGAACCCGTCAAACAGACGGTAACCATGAATTTACTGTCAAACTAGAGGCACCAAGAACCTCATTATATCAGAATTCATATCTCTGGAGAACAGCATCGCTGTGGAATAAACTCCCTGCGTCGGTTTTCCCTGCAGGTTACAACCTGAACCGTTTCAAGACCAACATACACCGACATTTCCGCGCACTTGCCGCTTCTCGAGCGTGATAGGATATTTCCTTGCGAGTGCGCATATCCGTAAAAAAAAAAAAAAATAAAACAGAAATATTTGAACGAAAATTAAGAAAAATGTCGTAGTGTATTATATCGTTGGATTCGCTTTAAAAAACTGCATTTAGTAATGTTATGAAAGTGATATGTTTCTATTCTAGTTTTTGAGCTAGGGCAAAAATACCACAATAATGGAGTTTACAGCCCTCTATCAGAAATGTTTACAAAGATAAAATTGAGTTTGTATTTTTCTGAACTTAAGTAAAGTATGTAGAGTCATTTTAGGATAATCATGGCACTCTAGTTAAAAAATTAAAATTTAATTTAAAAACAAAATTTGGGCAAAACTCGATTCAAAAATTGTGCATTAGGACGTAAAACGACCTGTAGAATCCGAAAAACAAAAAATATATAGGTTGTGCCATTTAAAAATCAAAAGTTCCGGTCATTTCCGGTGGAACCGGAAGTCAGGAAAACTTGTCATAAATGCATAAAAATGGCGTTTGGATAGAATATCAACCCTTAATTCAATGGTAGTTAACCACCAGTAGCTTTTTGTAGGTGATATCAACGACATAATCAAGAACATACGTTTTTTGCCACCAATATCACGTGACTTTAAAATGGTATTTGTCGGACTTTACCGGGATTTGTGTATAAAGGCGGTTACACACGGACGTGGATGTCTGAGAACATGTTCGCACATACATGAACGCGCGAACAAAAACATCAATGTGTATGCAGAATACCATCGCGTTTTTGAATGCCCTAGCGGTAGAATGACGGTCAGGTGAATTTCTACGCTTCAATCAAACTTGAACACCCCAAAAATCTAGCAAGCCGATTTTGTTTAAATTTTCAGGAGTGAAAGGCTGGTCTAATTGCTAATTAATTTCCAGTTGCTAAAAGATTTCCGTCCACCTGCTGAAAGATACAGGGTGAAACATAAGTTGGCGATTTTTGTAAAAGTTTGGTTCATCCCATTCTGCTGGAGGGAGGGTTAAGTAAATTTTTGGCATTCAGCTTAGAAGAGTACCTTAGTATAGTATTTTTAATTTGAATTTGGATTGAAACACTAATAAAAACATCTAAGCCGTTTTCTTGTGTTCACTTTTTTAACATTGGTTCAAAACAGGTTTGAAACGGGCAATGGTGTTTTCATTGACTGTAAAAATACTATACCTCGGGACGTTTTTGAGATTTTTTGAATATCGCAGCCCTCTATGATTTCATGAGTTATGCAATTTTATATAAAATATAGCTTTTGACGTCATTATTTCTTTTTGAAACAAATTATGGCGCATGTAAAAACATACTTAGAACGTATTATAAAGGGTCGTACAAAAATATACAGTGTGTCTATTTTTCTAACCAGAGGTATCTTGGTTATTATTAAAGATACGAGGTCAGTTAAATTAGGGCAAAGTTTTTTTTTTAGACCACCTACAATGTCTCGTGTACTGATCAGCCAATATTGACATTTTATCTGTTAGGTACCTACTTATTGCAAAAAAATTTAAAAAAAAGCTTGCTCATTACACGTATAAAAATTTGAACGCATTATTAGGGTGTTCCAATTAAACTTTCCGGATGTTTTTTTCAATTCCAACAAAAAGCCAACTAGGAAATATTTAATACTTTATAGCAATAAGTAACATGATCGTTAAAAATTATACATGAAACGCAATATCCAACAAATAACCATCGCGACTTCTCTCACAGCACACAACTCCTTTGCCAAAATTTTCGATCACATCTGTGCACATTTCCAGTGGTCTCTCACGAATAATGCGCCAAATCACTAAATCACATCTTTCAACTCTTAAACTGTTTGGGGATTGTTCACATACGCTTTTATTTTGATGTAAGCGACGCAACATGTCACACAGCAAGATAAACCATTGACTTTTGACTTATTTCAAACACCATTTGAAGGTAGACTTCTTTCAAGAAATGGGGATGTCAATTGGCGCCTAGATCTCACGATCTAACGCCACTAGACTCTTTTTTGTGGGGTTACATCAAAAGCAAAGCGTATGTTAACAATCCCCCAAACAATTCAAGAGTTGAAAGATAAGATTCGGCGTATTATTCGTGAGATACCACCGGAAATGTGCATAGATGTGATTGAAAATTTTGGCAAAAAAATTGTGTGCTGTGAGAGAAGTCGTGGTGGCCATTTGTTGGATATTGCGTTTCACGTATAGTTGTAAACGATCATGTTACTTATTGCTATAAAGTATTAAATGTTTCATAGTTTCCTTTCCGTTTGAATTGAGAAAAGCACCTGGAAACTTTTATCAGAACACCCTATATATTTTTGTATGACCCTGTATAATATGTTCTAAGTGTGTTTTCACATGCGCCATTCTTGTAGTGTTTGTTTCGGAAAGAAATAATGACGTTAATAGCTATATTTTACATAAAATCGTATAACTCATGATAAAATCGTAGTCGGCAGCGATATTCAAAAAATCTCAAAAACGTCCCGAGGTGTTAAGGTACTCTTCTAACTGCATACCAAAAATCTACTCAACCCTCCCTCCAGCAAAATGGGGTGAACCCAAACTTTCGCACAAAAATCGCCAACCTATGTTTCACCCTGTATCTTTTAGCAGGTGGCCGGAAATCTGTTAAGAACTGGAAATTAAATAGCAATTAGAGCATCCTTTCACTCTTGAAAATTTGAACAAAATCGGCCAGCTAGATTTTGAGTTATAGCCTCTCAAAAAGTGACCAAAAATTAGGGTGTTCGAGTTCGATTGACGCGTAGTTTACCTACACAATCGAGTGAGTACACAATGGTTATTTACAAGAAACAAACAACAATGATCACTTATTGTGCAGGTCGTAGATAAAATATATCACACGTACAGTAAGGCTCATTATTACAACACCCATGTGGTTACCAAGACTCGGTCTACAACCTCGTTGTGGGAATATTCCCCACTTGTTACTGTAGTAAAGCGCATACCGTTCTAGTAATTTAAATAACTATTACGTACAAGTGTGCGGAAAATGCACTTCTCACTTGTTTGCAAGTGGAAAGTAGCACTTCACTGCACTTGCTTGCAGGTGGCAAGTAGCACTTTACTGCACTCTTGCACTTCTCTTGTTTGCAAGTGGAAAGTAAAGTAGCACTCAACGCACACTATGCGGTCTTTACTGACCTTTGCAAACTGCCGTTGCATGCGGTAAAGTATCACTTTCTGCATTTGTTAGGTAAAGGCACTTTCCGCATGTGTTAGGTACAAAATTTTATCTATGAGCATCTACATCTCCAAAAAAAGGCATTGATAAAATTAATTAATGAATCAGATTAATTAATGAAATTAGATAAGATTTAGAAATGATCAAAAATCCATTTTCTGAAAGAGAGAGGATTTTTTATTATAAATATCAAATTCTACTTTACCGCACACTATGCGGTAAAGTGCACTTTACCGCACACTTTGTATTCTACTTTACCGCATACTATGCTGTAAAGTTAACTTTACCGCACACTATGCGGTAAAGTGCACTTTACCGCATAGTGTGCGGTAAAGTGATACTTTCCATTTGCAAATACGTGCGGTAAAGTGCACTTTACCGCACGCTCATAGGTAAAATTAATAACTATTGTCATTGTTTTGTTTAGTGTTAGTGTGCATGCGGTATACCATTCTTGCTGCACCCTGTGTGGTAATGTAGTACTTACCGCACCTTTGTAGATAAAAACCGTTACCGGTTAAGTAATTTGAAATAATACTTACATGGTTTTCAAACAATCACGCAGGCACCAAACTTTACTTATTAATTTATTTATTTTAGCATTAGATAGCTAATCATTTTTGCAACAGTTTTCAATATTAATTAGTGTAACAAAAGGGGTTTTCCTCAAGACAACAGTCAGTTTTGGATATGGAGAAAAAATAATACAAAATTTAATAATAAATAAACTTTTTTTGGCAAACTTTTCCAGTCAGCTGAATTCTGACAGTGACAATCGACTGACTTCTGTCAGTTCTATCTTTTCTGACTTGTTCCACCAGGTTGTTCCTTGCATTTCGTTTGTGACGAATTCGGAGTAGATGGGTTGTTTTTGCTGCACTAGTCTGGACTGAGTGCAAAATGCTTTTTAGAGTAATACTTTTTGGCACTCTGGAGTAGGGAATTGGCGGGATCTAGAGTCTAGACCTGTTCCAAATCTTCATCGCTCATCCCCCTGGCCTGGGCCAAACAAACATCAACAAATATAAAATACACAGAATTTGGTATTTGATATACTGAGGTAAAAATACAAAATTTTATCCGAAAAAATTCTCTTCGGTCAGGGCTGGGATCACGACAAGTAGAATTCAACGGGAACACTGCTCCCCTGTTTCAAGAATAAGGACACTGGTGTAGCCAATTGGTGTACCATTCCTAGTTCCAAGTTCAACATATAGTTCATACCAAATAAACTTATAGTTGGGTTGTCAAGCTCGGTCAGCACAGCGTTGCCGCCTCTTGCATATTTTCCTTTGGTCAAAATATTTTCAGAAATAATAATGGATTATATTATAATATAATGCAAACATTATTTATTACCTAAATTATAAACATTGATTCAAAGCTTGGTTTGATAGATATCCTATAACAACTCATTTGTCAATCATCACTTAATAGTATATTATATACCTAGGTAGAGAAGTTGGTCCTTATATACCGAGCGCTTTTATAAACCGAGGCGCTCGCGCCGAGGTTTATAATGAGTGAGGTATATAATGACTTTCTCTACCGAGGAATATATAGAATTTTTTTTACTACTGCTAGTAGAAAATGAAAAATTTGTTTAAAATCTGTGCTCCAATTATTTTTTTTTGAACGCCCTCTTGAAAGTGCTGCCCTCTATCAACAGCTTATGATAACTTCCTATGTACCTACAGAAACCTGTATTTTTTTTCAAATTGACGTATGGAAATGAAATTGAACCAATAGAAACATGACAATATCCTTGCGTCATGACGTCATTTTCATTATTAACCTAGATTCACCTAGGGAGAGAAATTCAATTTTTTCCTAGAAAAATAGATTGAATAATGACAATTTCTCAGGTTAGTAGTAAAAAATAGCGCCGAGGTTTATAATGCGTGAGGTCTATAATGACTTTCTCTACCGAGGAATATATAGAATTTTTTTTACTACTGCTAGTAGAAAATAAAAAATTTGCTTAAAATCTGTGCTCTAATTATTTTTTTTTGAACGCCCTCTTGAAAGTGCTGCCCTCTATCAACAGCTTATGATAACTTCCTATGTACCTACAGAAACCTGTATTTTGTTTTAAATTGACGCATGAAATTGAAATTGGACCAATAGAAACATGACAATATCCTTGCGTCATGACGTCATTTTCATTATTGACCTAGGGACTTTTTCATTATTTTCATTATTCACCTAAGGAGAGAAATTCAATTTTTTCCTGGAAAAATAGATTGAATAATGACTATTTCGCAGGTAAGTAGTAAAAAAAATATAATAGTAACGCTCAGTACCTTTTTTATTTACAGCCACTCTAAATACTATAATAGTATATTACATACCGAGGTGGAAAGTGTTTCATTTTTATTTCATATTTACAATCATTCAAATTTTGAAATTTTTATTTGAATTAAAACTAAAAAATACAATAATTGACAATTTCATTTACTTTCGACCCACGGGTCGAAAGTAAAAGCCAAAAAATACAATAAATTTTAAAAAATTCATTTACTTTCGGCCCACGGGTCGAAAGTAAACTTTCGAGAGGGCAACGTCGCGTATGGTGCTATTTTGTTATTGGGTTATGTGTTTCTGTGTATTGCTTTCATTGTGTATTGTTGCAATTTAGTATTTTTATGGGCATTATTGACGAAAAAGTGGATAGAAACAAACAAACAAGGATAAAGGCGTAGTTCGAGAGTTCAAACTAAAACGTCCAACTCTTAAAAGTAGGTACCTCTTATTTTCGAAAATCAGCTCAAGTATTTGAATGGACTTGCCTTCCGAAAAAATCCCGAAGAAAGAAAAAGTTAGATTTTCAAAAGACATACTGAAACATAGGCCTATAACACTTTAGACTCTAGAAATATATTCATTTAAATCAATTATTTACTGTTCTTATTTACACAAATAGTTAAATTATTCATTGAATTACTGTTTTTGGCCCTTTAGTACAATAAATTATGTATTTATTGTGATTCATATTAATAAAATAAAAAATATATATTTATACAAACAAACACCACCAGCACCACTTGGCGGTAAGATTGCGGTGTTGCCTTTTTAACTTCATGGCTTGTTAAATGTAGGGGGCTGTGTGCTGACGCATTAGAAATTAGATAACGAAAATGAGACGTTGCCGTGCTTAACTTATAAGATTAGATACACATAAATAATAGTAAATATAATTGAAAAAAAGAAAAGAAAAAGACTCTAAATCAATGAGGATTGGACACCTACTCCTCATGTCCTTTACCTCTAAGTGATTAAGGCTATGAATATTTTGTTTGTCTGTTGTCTTGTCTTTTTTCATTCATGTCAGAATTTCCTACATGCTGCGATCATTTCGTGTCCCTGTAAATATACGTTTGACTTTCGTGGGTTAGAGGACAGGACCAAAAAAGAAAGTATCAAGTTTCTGGCAACATTTCGGAATACCTATATTTTACCTTTTTCAAGCCTTAAGCTATTTAACAACACACATTTCGGAATACCTATATTTTACCTTTTTCAAGCCTTAAGCTATTTATTTACAATCATACATGTAATGTTGACTTTACTGACTTTTAAAAAGTTCGAAAATGTCACTTTTTTGACTTTTACTTTCGGCCCACGGGTCGAAATCGGAATATATTTTTCCTTTTTCAAGCCTTAAGCTATTATTTCTGGAGTCCGTTCAGGATGGATAAAGGCACTTCTCATCATATTTTAGGGGTACTGGGTAGCAATCAATTTTTTCAAAAAAGAAAATCGTTATTTCGAATTCGAATATGATGAGAAGTGCCTTTATCCATCCTGGAACGGACTCCAGAAATAATAGCTTAAGGCTTGAAAAAGGTAAAATATAGGTATTCCGAAATGTTGCCAGAAACTTGATACTTTCTTTTTTGGTCCTGTCCTCTAACCCACGAAAGTCAAACGTATATTTACAGGGACACGAAATGATCGCAGCATGTAGGAAATTCTGACATGAATGAAAAAAGACAAGACAACAGACAAACAAAATATTCATAGCCTTAATCACTTAGAGGTAAAGGACATGAGGAGTAGGTGTCCAATCCTCATTGATTTAGAGTCTTTTTCTTTTCTTTTTTTCAATTATATTTACTATTATTTATGTGTATCTAATCTTATAAGTTAAGCACGGCAACGTCTCATTTTCGTTATCTAATTTCTAATGCGTCAGCACACAGCCCCCTACATTTAACAAGCCATGAAGTTAAAAAGGCAACACCGCAATCTTACCGCCAAGTGGTGCTGGTGGTGTTTGTTTGTATAAATATATATTTTTTATTTTATTAATATGAATCACAATAAATACATAATTTATTGTACTAAAGGGCCAAAAACAGTAATTCAATGAATAATTTAACTATTTGTGTAAATAAGAACAGTAAATAATTGATTTAAATGAATATATTTCTAGAGTCTAAAGTGTTATAGGCCTATGTTTCAGTATGTCTTTTGAAAATCTAACTTTTTCTTTCTTCGGGATTTTTTCGGAAGGCAAGTCCATTCAAATACTTGAGCTGATTTTCGAAAATAAGAGGTACCTACTTTTAAGAGTTGGACGTTTTAGTTTGAACTCTCGAACTACGCCTTTATCCTTGTTTGTTTGTTTCTATCCACTTTTTCGTCAATAATGCCCATAAAAATACTAAATTGCAACAATACACAATGAAAGCAATACACAGAAACACATAACCCAATAACAAAATAGCACCATACGCGACGTTGCCGTCATTTCCAATTTCATGGCTTGTTAACTATAGGAGGCTGTGGTCAGCACCAAACTAAGGGAATTTTTTACAACCCTGCCTCCAGGCATTTATATTTGTGTGTAATTCTCTCTCTCTTGATTTTTGGGCTTGGTGCGACACAGTTCGTTTGCTCCGCATTATTTTTAGTTTAAAGTTTCACCTCTGAAGAATAAATAATTATTTTTTACTACTAACCTGAGAAGTAGTCATTATTCAATCTATTTTTCTCGGAAAAAATTGAATTTCTCTCCCTAGGTTAATAATGAAAATAATGAAAAAAAACCTAGGTCAATAATGAAAATGACGTCATGACGCAAGGATATTGTCATAACGTTACAGGTTTCTATTGATTTAATTTCAATTTCAAACTGTCAATTTAATCAAAAAAACAGAGAAAGTCATTATATACCTTACGCATTATAAACCTCGGCGCTACGCGCCTCGGTTTATAAAAGCGTTCGGTATATAATGACCAACTTCTCTACCTAGGTATAATGTACTAATTTTGAATGGGCGTTACTTATTTATCCCCAGCTCAACTCAACAAGGCAGCATTTGCAACAAAGCGTCGATGTGAATAGTTTAATATTGCTGAAAACAACACATGACGCAACAGTAGGAACGCTCCATTCTGCTTACGAAACTAAAGTGAAGCCAAGTTTTTGCCAGGTGTTTGGCACCAAAATATAGGTACCTAAGAAATGATTGGAATATTTGCTAAATTATCAATTTGCCTCAAAATACTTCAAATTCTGATAAAAACCTTCAATCCTTCAGTAGTCGAAATTTTAGATCAAAACCCTTCATATTGAAGGAAATCCTTCAATTCTGGCAACACTGTGCTAATGCCAAACCTACTATTTCCCTTCTACCGGCGATGCCAAATCTGGTGCGAATTTGCTGAAACGCCAAATACCGTTTCTCAATACCATAGAATAATATACGAACTAAGATAAAAATAGAACTAAAAATACTTCAATTATTTATTTACTTATTTTATGAGTTAAAGAACTCGCAACTCTGTGTTTCTATACACCATAGAGAAATGAAGAGTCCTCT